AAGGAAAGGAAAGGAAAGGAAAGGAAAGGAAAGGAAAGGAAAGGAAAGGAAAGGAAAGGAAAGGAAAGGAAAGGAAAGGAAAGGAAAGGAAAGGATAAGAGGGGCGCAGGGATCCCCCAAAAAGGACGTCTGGCATTTTGGGACGGCGCCATTCCCGCAGGATGCGGTGGGATGGGGCCCGTGCCGCCCTTCCCGGGGCTCTGCCGGGCGTTCCCGGTGGTGCCAGGCTGGAAAATCGCGCTCAGCTTCCCCCGGGCTCCGCCGGGAACCGGGAGCGGCTCCTGCCCAGCCCCGCGGCCCCTCCGCCCCGCGGGGAGCTCCGGCAGACCCGGAGGGCTGGGCCGGCGTCACCGGGAGCCCGGGAGAAGCGCTTGGCTCCGGGTGAAAGCTCTGGAGTTGGGAATGAGCGAAGGGGAAAAGAATTCCGGGATGTGAGGCGGGGATCGCGCCTGATGGGGCCGCGGGGAGTTCCGGCTGGGCTGGGGAGGGGGAACAGATCCACAGAGCCCCGCTCGCCTTCCCAGCCCCGAACCGGCCGGGAACGGGCTGGGAAAGGAGCTGGAGCAAAGCTGGCCCGGCCCCAAAGCGCTCCAGAGGGATTTGGGAATTCAGCTCGGGCACTTTGGTTATCCCAGCACAGGGATCCACAGGGAGGAGGAGGAGGAAGAGGAATTCCATGCAGATTCCAGCCATCCCAAATGTCCATCCGTTCTTCCCTGGTGTCCCCACGCATCCCTGAACATCCCTGAGCCTGGAGAAGGATCCCTGAGAATGGAATGGGATCCTGAGCCTGGAATGGGATCCCTGAGTCTGGAATGGGATCCTTGAGCCTGGAATGGGATCCTGAGCCTGGAATGGGATCCTGAGCCTGGAATGGGATCCCTGAGCCTGGAACGGGATCCCTGAGCCTGGAACGGGATCCCTGAGCCTGGAATGGGATCCTGAGCCTGGAATGGGATCCTTGAGCCTGGAATGGGATCCTTGAGTCTGGAATGGGATCCTGAGCCTGGAATGGGATCCCTGAGCCTGGAACGGGATCCCTGAGCCTGGAACAGGATTCTGAGTCTGGAATGGGATCCTGAGCCTGGAATGGGATCCCTGAGCCTGGAACGGGATCCTGAGCCTGGAATGGGATCCCTGAGCCTGGAACGGGATCCCTGAGCCTGGAACGGGATCCCTGAGTCTGGAACGGGATTCTGAGTCTGGAATGGGATCCTGAGCCTGGAATGGGATCCCTGAGCCTGGAATGGGATCCTTGAGAATGGAATGGGAACCTTGAGTCTGGAACAAGATTTCTGAACCTGGAATGGAATCTCTGAGCCTGGAACGGGATTCCTGAGCCTGGAATGGGATCCCTAAACCTGGAACAAGATGCCTGTATCCCCACATTCCCTGTATCCCCACATCCCTCGTCCCTACACATCCCACTCCCCTGGCCCATCCCGGCTCCGGGTTAATCCCGATTTCTCCCAGCCCATTCCAGCTCTGGGTTAATCCTGATTTCCCCTGGCC